TTACTTTTTTAATATTTGAAATGGTAATATAGTAACTAAACCATTAAACTTTTAATCATCTAGTATTAGGCTCAAATCTTGTTCTTCTCAACTTGATTCAGGTAGTATCATTGATTTTCATAAAATTAATGTATAATTCAAAGTTGAACATACGACTTTGTGCTCGATGAGTGATTTGAATTGATCATATGTGTTTGTATTAATCCATATGGATAGGTAACATTTGTTGCCTTAGTAACTGTTAAATTATCTTTCACGTAATTATTGATTGCAATTTATCTTTGTCATATTATGTAGTTATTAGTAATTTTATAATAAATCAATTATTATCCGATAGTTTTTAACCTTGAAAATATGTAAAAGCTTCCAAAAACTTATTTACTTAATCAACATAAAATTACTTTATAGTTAGTTGGTATAGTAGTATACAGTTTTACAAATAAACAAGTTACAACACGTACTTTATAATAACAAAAATGACATAAATTCTGGTGTTCTGTATTATTGTTTCAATATATATATATATTACAAATCGTAATTTTATAACATAATTTTATTGATTAAGGACTGATGTTTTTAAATTTCACATCCATTAGTTCATTATCTAATCAATCAAAATTATTTTGTTATGATAATACTAAGCAAATTTATTAGAAAGCAAAGATGGATAGTGGCTAGCAGTGGAATCCAGTTTGACGTGCGTTTCATCTTATTTGGGACTCGTCAGCTGGATGTACCTACATCTCAGAGTTGATGTTCACTCTGGGACTCGAACCCAGTACCATTTGCTTCAAACGCCATCACGTTATCCACTCAGCTACTGAGTCCTGATAGGACGAAACGCGCGTTCTGGACTCCACTGCTAGCTATTATCCATCTTTGCTTACAATGCTTGTGAATTAAGGCTATATCGTGGCAATACGCACAGCATGCACATATGCCATTTAAAGACTGACCATTTGGGGTCCTAAACATCAATGGGGAGATTCAAACAAACAATACTAAGTAAATTTAAATTTAGTAGTTTTGATTACAATTTCGATATTAGTAAACATTTTTAAAATAACAAGAAAAACATAATTGATTAATACAAGTATTCAATTTGGACTACGTATATAAATAAATTAAGTTTTATTTTTATACTTTAAAAGTAAACAGTTGTAGTTGATAAATAAATGTTTATATGAGATTATTTATTGTAAAGTTTGTAGTTTTCATTAAATATAGATGAACTTTTAAAAATGACATATTACAGAATGTTTCTCTAATCCTTATATTTGAATCTTCAATCATGAATATCTATCTTGAAATAAAAATAATTTTGTGCTTGTCACGAATTCAATGGAGCGCTACATTGAAATCTGATGAATGACATTCTTCTACTTTAATTACTTATCTATATCTTCACCAGTGATATATGATAATGGTTATGATGTGGTGTGGGTTACTTATATCCACATAAGTAGTATATAGTGAAGGTCAGGATTAGAATTTATTTTGGCAGAAGATCGATAAGGAAAGAACAGGTACGGTATGAAAATGCATGAACAATTAAATCAGAGAAAATGGAATGATGCTTACAGAAGGAGCAGTGAATATTAAGACAATTGATTGTTATTTTGCAAATTAACTGTTTATTGTATGGTTATCAGATTTAAGTGAGATAGTTTGTAATTTATGCTTAAATACATTTGATTGTCCCCACCCGTGTTCTCATTCAGTACAATGATACATTGAGAAAAGGTTCTCTTAAAAATTGTTTATTAATTAGTTCCGACTTGGCATTCAATTGATTTACTTATTACAACAGGATTATCACTGATGTAATAACTTATGTGACTGGTATTGAGCACAACTCCGCCTGTACCGCCTCCGGAGGCTACTACCGGTCCCAAGCCTGTGTAAGGGAGGAGGGTTGGGCATGAGGTTAGCGACCCCATCCCGTAGAAAACCAACTCGCTAAAAAACGCTAACCAGAAAAAAATATTCAAACCATTTAAACTCTTCCCTGGGAGCAGCAGGACGAGAACCGGTGCTTTCAACGTGTTATGGTCGCCGGCTCTGCTTTGGGAGTAGAAAGAGTAATTACGACGTCTCATGATGGAAGCCAAGTTCCTTCGGAAGTCATGAGGCCGATGCACCTTCTTACAACCAGAGCGACAATTTTTATAGGTACATGGAATGTCCGAACAATGTGGGAGACCGGAAGAGTTTTCCAAATTGCTGCAGAAACGAGAAAATACAACCTGGAAGTGCTTGAAATCAGTGAAACACACTGGACGCAGGTTGGACAACAACGACTGTCTTCAGGAGAACTTCTGTTATACTCCGGTCATGAAGAAGAAAATGCCCCACATACACAAGGAGTTGCATTGATGCTGTCCAGAAAAGCACAAAATGCACTTATTGGATGGGAATCTCATGGACCAAGGATCATCAAAGCCTACTTCAAAACAAAGAGAGAGGGCATTAAAATGAACGTCATCCAATGCTATGCGCCTACCAGTGACTACGATGAAGACGCTAAAGACCAATCCTACGATAGGCTGCAGTCAGTCGTCAGGAAGTTCCCAACCAAGGACCTGACAATTCTGATGGGAGATCTAAGTGCTAAGGTTGGAATGGACAACGCTGGATATGAAGACGTCATTGGACGAAATGGACTGGTAGAAAGGAACGAAAATGGTGAGAGATTTGCAAATCTATGCGCATTCAACAAATTTGTTATAGGCGGCACAATATTCTCACACAAGCGCATACACAAAGCTACATGGATCTCGCAGGACCAAACCACAGAGAACCAGATAGATCACATCTGTATCAACAAAAAATTCCGAAGATCAATGGAAGATGTGAGAACTCGGAGAGGAGCTGACATAGCTTCAGATCACCACCTGGTTGTGGCCAAGATGAGACTGAAGCTAAAGAAAGACTGGACAACTGGACAAACAGCACTACAAAGGTTTAATACAGCCTTCCTTCGAGATACTGACAAACTCCATGAATTCAAGATAACTCTCAACAACAGGTTCCAGGCTCTACAGGATCTACTTAAAGAACAAGAAATTATGATGGAGGACAACTGGAGAGACCAGTCAAGGACAAAGAAGGAAAGACAATCACTGAGATTCAAGAACAGAGGAAAAGATGGGCAGAATACTTCGAGGAACTGCTGAATAGACCAGCCCCATCGAATCCACCGAACATCGAAGCAGCCCACACAGACCTTCCTATAAATGTCACTCCACCAACGATCGAAGAAGTCAAGATGGCCATCAGACAAATCAAAAGTGGGAAGGCGGCAGGACCTGACAATATACCAGCTGAGGGATTGAAGTCGGACATTGAAGTAACTGCAAACATGCTTCACCTTCTATTCAAGAAGATTTGGGAAGAGGAACAAGTGCCAACGGACTGGAAAGAAGGATATCTCATCAAGATACCAAAGAAAGGAGATCTGAGCAAATGTGAGAACTACAGAGGTATCAGTTTGTTATCAGTACCAGGAGAAGTTTTCAACAGAGTGCTGCTGAATCGGATGAAAGACGCAGTAGACGCCGAACTTAGGGATCATCAGGCTGGATTCCGTAAGGATCGGTCGTGCACAGACCAGATTGCGACAATACGGATCATCGTTGAACAATCAGTTGAATGGAACTCATCACTATACGTCAACTTTATTGACTATGAGAAGGCGTTTGACAGCGTGGACAGGAGAACATTATGGAAATTTCTTCGACACTATGGAGTTCCTGAAAAGATTGTCAACATTATCCAAAACTTATGCGATTGACTACAGTGCAAAGCGGTGCATGGAGGACAGCTGACAGATGCATTTCCAGTAAGGACCGGAGTCAGACAAGGCTATCTACTCTCCCCATTCCTCTTCCTTCTGGTGATTGACTGGATTATGAAGAATTCGACATCTGAAGGGAAATACGGAATACAATGGACTTGTCAGAATCAATTAGATGATTTGGACTTCGCAGATGACCTAGCCCTCCTCTCTCAAACACACGACCAAATGCAGATGAAGACAGCAAATGAAGCTGCAGCCTCTGCATCAGTAGGCATCAACATACACAAAGGAAAAAGCAAGATTCTCAAATACAACGCCAACACAGTCACACTTGATGGAGAAACTTGGAAAGATGTGGAAACATCCACGTACCCTGGAAGCAGCATTGATAAACAAGGAGGATCTGATGAAGATGTAAAGGTCAGGATTAGCAAAGCAATGGCAGCATTTCTACAACTGAAAAGCATATGGAACTCAAAACAACTCTCAACTAATTTCAAAGTCAGAATCTTCAATACGAACGTCAAGACAGTCCTACTGTATGGAGCTGAAACGTGGAGAACTACTTCGACCATCATCAGGAAGGTACAAGTATTTATAAACAGATGTCTACGCGAAATACTCAACATCCACTGGCCGGATACTATCAGCAATATTGTTCTATGGGAGAGGACAAACCAGCTTCCATTTGAAGAGGAAATTAGGAAAAGACGTTGGAATTGGATCGGACATACATTAAGAAAATCACCAATGTGCATCACGACTCAATCCCTAACTTGGAATCCGGAAGGGAAGCGGAAAAGAGGAAGGCCAAAGAACACATTACGCCGGGAAATAGAAGCAGATATGAAAAGGATGAACAGCAACTGGAAAGAACTGGAAAAGAAGGCTCAAGACAGAGTTGGATGGAGATTGCTGGTGAGCGGCCTATGCTCCTTGACGAGGGGTAACAGGCGTAAGTAAGTAATTGAGCACGGTCAATCGTTTTCTAACTTCTATGGATTCATGGTTAAAAACTGTACCTCAACACGGAACACGTTTCACAAATCTCTGTCATAATCAATTTTCAACTTGCATTATGTAATATACTACTGTAACATTGATATTAAGAAATAGCATATTTTAGTAAATACTTGTAATCAATCATATCAAATTTCATTATTCCTTCAATTTATTTTTATTATTGTCTTTCTTTTTTTAGAAAAATGCTCATGGGATTCATTTATTTGAAAAAGTTTGCAAACAATTAGATTTACAAGAGACTGAATATTTTGGCTTGACATATCGAACTAGTTTACGTGTAGATGTAAGTATATCACAATACTATTATTTAATAATATGTCAAATCTCTTTTTTCATTTAAAAAAATGAAGTGATTATACGTAATTACGTAATTTAATCCTAATAATTAATAACTGACATTGGATTGGTTGAAGTTAGACTTTAACACCGTTGGATGCCGGCCGGCTGACTGGTCTAGAGGTTAAACGCTCGTGCGCCTGACTGATAGGTTCTGGGTTCGAATCTCGCGAGGTGGGATCGTGGATGCGCACTGCTGAAGAGTCCCATAATAGAACGAAACGGTTGTCCAGTGCTTCCAGGTTTTCCATGGTGGTCTAGCTTCAAATGACTAATGATCTCAACTATTTAAAATTACTAAAACTCCACAAAACCCCCTTCTGATAATTTCGAATAAATTGAGCATTAGGAAGATTGGTATATATAAGAAAATTTATTTGCAATATCCCAATGAGTAGAAAAATGAGATTTTTCGATGTTTCGTGACTCAGTGTAAGCCACTTCTTCAGAGAATAAATAACCAAATTAAAATTAATCCAAATTAAATACTACAAATAATATTACAACATTGTTCACTAGTGATTCACTTTTTTCACTGATTGAGTCTTCTTATATAAATACACCTGAATTTTACATTTTTTCGTAATTTGTGTGGTACGTGTTTTGGCTGAATAGTATGTTTCATTTGTACATGGGAATGATGAATCAATTTGAAGGGGAAAATGTTTAATCTGATGAACTTTCAAATCAGCCTTCCCATGAACCAATATCAAATTAGATACATAACAATAAGAGTAAGTATTGTAATATATTTTAAACTAATCTGTTCAGTTTTGGATTAACCGACCTTAAAGATCATATAAATTGATAATTAATCATCGCTGACAGTCATCATGTCCATAGTTGAAATGGCAAGTATTACGTGGTTGAATATCTGTGAGAGTATTAACTCACTTAAAATTATAGATAAGCCTTTCATTGCTAAGTCGCTTGTTGTTGTTTTCATCCCCCATCTTAAAACAATTTTGCTTATGTAAAAGATCCTTATCAATTTAATTTAAGCTTACGCACTTTCCTTGACATTACAAAATTATCCATAGAAAATATAGTTTCTTTTATTTGAATTTCTTTTGTTTACCGTCCTTATCAACTGACATCGAAATGATTGTCAGTATAAAATTTGTTTCAGCTAAATGAACATCTATTTGTATATCTCTTATTAGTTATAAGGCTTTATGTTTAAGTGCTGTTCACTTTATCTAATAGCTTAAACACAAGTGTATTGTAGAGATTTAAAACTTGTGTCATACTAATCTTTACTAAAGGTGAATATACATTGAGTTCCACTTAACTGAGAAAGTCTGTCTACTAAACTCGAAGACGACTGAACTAAATTTCTCTGACATTGATGACTGTCGGCCTCTTATCTTAACAAAAATATCAAACAAATATCTTGTCCTACGAGTTCCGTTTGCCGATCCACTATTTAGATGATTTCTGACAAATTAAGTTTCGGGTAATCCTCTGTGGAAACAATTTCGATTATTTGAGGTTGGGAAAATTATGTCCAAATACCATCCAGGTTAATGACATTTTATAATGAACTCAAAAGGAGAAAATGGTTCACTGAGTAGAACATTCCTACTCAAACTGTCAGTCTATTTGAATATATCTTCATGGGTGCTCAATCGAACCTGATACATGTGAACTTCCGAGTATGATTTTAACAATGGAAATACAGAAAAGACAAGTCTATTCGCACATAACGTGCGTATAGTTAGAGGGGTATGGGACTGATATATCCTAACGTTCGGGGAATAAAGTATGTGACTTAAAATTGAATGTCTACTGAACAGATTACGTATGAACACTTTAGTGAGAGTAAATAGTTAAGTTTTATTAACTTGCCCGTATTCACAAGTATAATGGTTTATAAATGACTTAATTTTAATGCTCAGATTGTTTCTATTCTTCCGATACCAAATAATATTTTACGAGAACTTTTTAATATTAGATTTACTATCAACTCTGTTCTTAACTAACACATCACTAAGTGACGTATCTCACAAGTTTGAGGAGTGACTAAAAAGTTGTTTCTCTGTGAGTGTACAATTTATATAGTAGGTTTGAGCCCATGTAATATAATTAATTGTGGTGATGCTTCCTCAGTAATAAGATTTAATTACGAATCCGGTGTTCATCTTATTGTGCTAACGGGGTATGGCAACTTGGACCGATGCGTATATGTGCCTGGTCCTACGTTGTCGCTGACTAACTGACTTATTTATTAGACTTATCAGAGAAATATATACACAGCTTCTTTCATTGATAAAAATCTAATTTAAATCAGATTATATAATTTAATATCTGAAGATCAGTCAATGTGATTTTGTGCTAACGGCAATATATTGATAAGGTTTTCAGTGCACTTATGATTTAACGCCAAAGCGACTTGTATTTATAGTTAAACGTTTGAAGGTTACCAATCAGAAAACGTTATCAGTAGACATATGTTGGTATAAGATTGTTTATTCCAACTGAATAAACTGTTTATTGAATAGTACTAAAAACTAGAATGTGACTAAATGCAATCATCCCAGATCACGACAGTATGTGATGCAAGTTCAAATACTTCAAGAAACACGAGACTCTGTCTACGTAATTCTTTCAACAAAATCTTGGCATTCATAAATTTAATAAATGAATATTCAAAATGAATTTTTCAACTATCATTGTTAAGACAAATTCTTGCCTAAGCAATTTTTAATCATTTTCTCATTATGTTATGATATCATATACCATTATATTTAATGTCAGCAACTAAACTACTCAACTAAACCTATTAGTTTTATATCATATGACACTTACTTACTTATTTACGCCTGTTACTCCCAATGGAGCATAGGCCGCCGACCAGCTTTCTCCAACCCACTCTGTCCTGGGCCTTCTTTTCTAGTTCTATCCAGTTCTTGTTCATTCTACTCATGCCTGTCTCTATTTCTCAGCGCAATGTGTTCTTTTGACTTCCTCTTCTCCTTTGATCTTCAGGATTCCATGTGAGGGCTTGTCTTGTGATACAATTGGGTGATTTCCTCAAAGTGTGCCCTATCCACTTCCAGCGCTTCTTTCTGATTTCTTCCTCGGCTGGAATCTGGTTTGTTGTCTCCCACAGTAACTTGTTGCTGATAGTGTCTGGCCATCTGATCCGAAGTATCTTGCGTAGACAGCTGTTAATAAACACTTGTATCTTCTGGATAATGGCTTTCGTAGTTCTCCACGTCTCCGCCCCATACAGAAGAACTGTCTTGACATTTGTATTGAAAATTCTAACCTTGGTGTTGGTTGACAATTGTTTTGAGCTCCAGATGTTTTTCAGTTGTAGGTATGCTGCTCTTGCTTTGCCGATCCGCCTGTAGCTCCTCTGGGGGTTACTGCCAGTCCCAAGCCCGGGTAAAGGAGGAGGGTTGGGCATGGGGTTAGCGACCTCATCCCGTAGAAAATCAACTCGCTAAAAAACGCTAACCAGAAAAAAATTATTCAAACCATATCATGTGACAACAATATGACAATTAATAAATGCTAATTAGTTTAAATCATACTATTACTATTATCATTATTATTTTCACTAATAATATTCTACTAGTAATGTTCAATTGATTTTACTATAAACATTACAGCAGTTCTATTTATGAATGACATAGATTCAAGGAAATGAATTTATTATATATGATCAATAGATAAAATAATGAAGAGAAATGAAAGGCATCAAACACAAATTAAACCATGAGCACTCTTACATATACAAACACTGCTCATAATGAAGTATATATACGTATATACACAGATATATGTGTATATATCAATAAGTAATATCTGAAAGTTGAAATTTTCTTTAAAAAAAACAAAAGTAATTCAGTAAGTAGTTGGTCAATTTTACTCATTTTTAATGGTTCAGCCCATTTGAGATATTTTCAATCGGCGGATTACAGCTGGTCCTTGAAATTTCATGTTTATCATTTTCAACATCATCATATCAATTATTTTGTTTGATAAATATTTTGTTTGGGTTTTTCTTTGAATTCCGTATATGGACAACATTATATCAAGGTTAATAAAAAGAAATGATCTACATTATTAAGAGTAACAGGACAAATCAAAATATACTAAATTAATTTATTGTTATTATTAATACACCAAAAAGTAAATATCGTCACGATCAAACTATTTGAAATAATTAGGTTTCGGTAAATTATAAATTGATGCTGGTAAAATGAATGCCAGTAAAACATATAATACAATTTAAACTAACTATCGGTTTAAATTCACTTTATATTACTTGTTTAAATCTTCCCATTTATGTTTAGTACTGCAACTGGTCAGTCAAGTAATACTAAGTGAATTTAAACTTGACCACATTGCACAAAAAAGTGACTATCAGTACTCAGTAGCTGAGTGGATAACGCGATGGTGTTTGAAGCGAAAGGTACTAAGTTCCAATCCCAGAGTGAACATCAACTCTGAGATGCAGGTACATCCAGCTGACGAGTCCCAAATGGGACGAAACGCGCGTCCTGGATTCTACTACTAGCCACTATCCATCTTTTCTTAACTATCGGTTTGTTAACTAATGGAATATACGTATTGTGATCGATACATAATTTTGTGCTTTGCTATCCTTTTATAAACTGACCATTATTAAAAAGTGTGTGGGATCAATAAGCGTATCTGAAGACCTTAGTCTTCACGTCTCTGAGAAAATTACGGATGATTTACTTACTTAAATCACCGCTTATCCTTGTTGATGAAACAAAGGAATAATAAGTTTAGTTTCATTTGCGTTTTATGACTTTTTTGGACTATTGTAGTTTCATACGTCGATATTGATCATGTGAATACTTTATTGACAAAAATATTAAATTCATCTTAAAGCAAAGTGAACAAACATTTGCATGAACTCTACACGAAAAGGCATTGTGGATAGTTCCCCAAATCATATTTTGGGCACAT